ATCAAGTTGTTTGGGGGATTTCCACAATTTTTTTGAATCAGTTTTCATTTGCCAAAGTCTTTTTATGCCCCCGGATCATGTTAAGAGCACGGTTTCTATGCGATTTTCATGCCATGCAACACCCAAAAAACATAATACCTCATTTTTCGTCATTACAATACTTCCTCGCCAGTAGGCGTGTGATGTAAAAAGGAAGCTTCTAGGTCACTAAACTTAACGACAACTGTTGCAACTTAAGTTACAACCGTTTTTATGAACTTAAAGTACCTGTAGTTCGGACTCGTACCAGTCACAGTATATCTGAAATCATGTAGAGTTTCCTTGGAAATGAAGTACAGAGGACCTCCGGGAAGCCGACAAAGATTATGCAGGGCAGTGTCGGACTATCGAATTTGTGGGATTATAGAGCACTGTCTAAGACCCCTCATAGTCCGGAATTTTTTACAAAAGAGTACCTTGTAATCCGACAAATTACATATCCAATGGTAAGATTATATATGTTATGTATATGTATGTACTTTGAAGTACAAATCATACATAGTTTATGTATGCCGAATTTAGTAAATTAAATAACAATAGAGAGCTTACGTTTTATTATAAAATTAAGCATAAGTGCACATACAAATGTACCAAAATAATCAAGAATTATTAGTCAAAATCATTAATGAATTTATCAAATTATGAAGCTTGGAAATATGCATCAATTTTTTTTTCTTTAAGGTTGTGATAACGCGAGATCAGAGCTTTGTCCCTCAGTCTTCTCAAAAGTAAAAGTTCGTTGTAGGATGTACCATTTTCTTCAGCCCATTGTAAACCTAGCTCAAAGGCGTTAATTGCGTCTTGTGCTGGGACTTCTGGAGCAGTTGCAATCACGTCGTCGTTATTTTCCTGATTGTTTGTTGTATAATTAGAAACCTCTTTTATAATCTCTTCGTCAGACATTTAATGAAAAACATTTTCCTCTTTATCTATTCCACGGCATCAGATTTCCAAATCTTCCGGGCTTATCTGTGTTTCAGTAGCCACTTGTTGTATAACTTCCGAAGTAACACTGATTTGTGGAACGTTGCTAGGAGTGGTGACTATATCTGGCCATAACTTTTTCCAAGACGATTTAATAGTTGATACGGCTCTCAGAAGTAGGTTTTTCTTAAAGTCTTGCTTGCCAAACTGAATGATATTCTGGTCCATTGGTTGAATCAGTGCAGTGCAATTTGGCGGAAGAAACATCGCAGTGATGTATTTATCATCAGTTGTTAGTTCTTCTTCTAACGGATGACCGGGAGCGTTATCAATAGGCAACAACGCTTTTTGAGGAATATTATGATCTTTCTAACTTCAGGTACGAAGCATTCATCAAACCATTTTTTGAAAAGGTCTTTTGTCATCCATGTTTTTGAATGCCCGTGGTTATTAGATTTCCCAATGACCATCATCTTAAGCGCGTGTGTGCCCGCAACGTTAGCACAAGGTAGTATGGTCCCACGATCTTTACTTACTTTTCGTCCAGGTACGGATTTTCCTTTACAAGGAACGAAAGTTTTGTTAGGCATCACACGCCAAAAAAGCCCTTATTCGTCTGCATTGTACACCTGTGGCGGGTCAAGATTTGAATCGTTCACCTTTTGCAAAAATCTTAATTTATGCAGGTGGCCACGTTAGAAAGTTTCTCTCCTGCAATAGTCATTAAACGTATGCCATGACGATTTTTAAAACGTTCTAGCCATCCTTTGCTGACCACAAAATCATCTTTTTTTGTTATTTCCTTATAAAAAAAACTTAGCTTTCATGGCCAACATGGGTCCTGAAATTGGTGCATAAACATTTCTTTCCTGAAGAAACAACATGTACAAAGCTTCTTCCACTTCTGGATGTTCAGCTTTCTTGAGTGTCTGCCTCTTGCCTGGCCCGCAGTCAGTAGTCGACACTTGATCTTCTCGTGGTTTCTTTTAATGTCATAAACTGTAGATCGGCCTACGCCGTATTCACTTCCTAAACTACTGAAAGTTTCATTGCGATTTAAGTGATCTAAAATATCACATTTGTCTTTAATTATCAATATTTTGTGCTTTCACTTCTGAGTTTATGATGACATTACTAGGTACTATACTTAATACAGAATGAATAAATAGTAAACAGTGAACGCACGCTAGGCCGTACCGATATCACAAGTAGTCAAATTCAAACTAAGTAAAACAATGCTTACGCGTCTAGCACGATAGCGGTGGTGCGTACAAGTTGTAACCTGTTCAAACCTGCGTGATCTATTGGTTGTCGGAAAAGTCATGACGTATATGCAACAAAGTATGCAATTGCATGGTTGGAAGTACGTGAGTCAATGACATTTGTATGTTGATTGTGTAGTTTGACAGTTGACACTTCAAGCTTCATTTGCACCAAAAATTAAGTGATTTATTTGAGTCTCGTCGATTTTAGAGGACGTTGAAGATGGACGACCAAACTGTGCATTTTCGTCACATTTTGCTGTATTACTTCCGCAAAGGCAAGAACGCAAGACAAGCGTGTGAAAAGTTGAGAAAGGTTTATGGAGAACATGCACTACAAGAACGACAATGCCAGAGATGGTTTAAAAAATTCCGAGATGGGGATTTTGATATCCATGACGCACCTCGATCAGGGCGGCCTACTGAGTTGGATAGTGACGAATTAAAGGCATTGGTAGGAGCAAACCCACATTACACCACACGGGAAATTGCAGAAACCTTAAAAATCCATCATTCAACCGTTCACGACCATTTGAAGAAACTGGGATACGTAAGCAAACTCGATCGTTGGGTACCACACGAACTGAGAGAGGTTCATTTGACGGCGCGTGTAGACATCTGCGATATGCTCCTTAAACGTGAGGAAAACGATCCTTTCTTAAAGCGCTTGATAACGGGAGATGAAAAGTGGATTGTTTACAACAATGTGGTTCGCAAACGGTCTTGGTCCCGAAGTGTAGATACGCGTAACACGATCGCGAAAGCAGAGAGTCATCAGGAAAAGGTGATGCTCTCTGTTTGGTGGGATTTTAAAGGGATCGTGTTTTTCGAACTCCTGCCAAAGAACCAAACCATCGATACAACTCTGTATTGTCGGCAATTGGACAGTTTGCAACAATCCATCATGCAAAAACGTCCGGAGCTCATTAATCGCAAAGGAGTTGTGTTCCACCATGACAACGCGAGACCGCACACAAGTTTGCTCAGTCGTCAAAAGTTATTGGAGTTAGGATGGGATGTGTTACCACATCCAGCATACTCGCCTGATCTTGTCCCATCTGATTTTTATTTGTTTCGGTCGCTTCAAAATTCCTTGCGAGAAATACGCTTTACTTCAGATGAAGCTGTACATCAGCACCTTGTTCAATTTTTTGCCGGTAAAGACAAATCCTTCTACGAGCGAGGAATTATGAAGCTGCCTGAAAGATGGCGAAAGGTCATCGATCAAAATGGGCAATACATTATTGATTGAAGTTTGTGGTGTATATGAATAAAATGGCCTTAAAATAAACAAAAAAAAGCGTCATGACTTTTCCGACAACCCAATACATTAGCGAAGATTGTCAAATACGTATGTATGTAATACATATTCAAAGACATGTCGGATTACAGGGGGCGCAGGATTATCGGGAGTCCACTGTAAAAGCCAGCAGCATCATAACGTCACAGCATAGCGTGAATGTCGCAGCGGGATCAGGAAACCTTTGATTCATAACTCTGGTCTAGAACTAATTTCTAACTTACGCGTCGCGTCGCCTCGCAGCAGTTTCATACCCCGCAGATTCCCACCCTCCCTTGGCCGCTACCCTACTTCTAGTGCACCAGTGTTCTTGGACCTATTTATCCTAGTCGGCAGTTCACGTAATTGGACTTACGACAGTGGCAGTCAGTAGCAGGGTTTAGCAGTGCAAATCCGTTTTAGGGATGTAGTGCATCAACTAAAAAAGCTCCCTTGCATTAAAAAGAGATTTTTTCAAAACTAACCGGAGGAATCTCTGAGTAGCTTATGTCTCCCTAGGTAAACAACGATGATAAAAGCCTCTAGGAAAATAACGATGTCAGTGAAATATTTATCATGCTTCATTATCCAAGTTTGAGGAACAATCTTTATACGGGGTGTCCCGAAAGAAGTGTGCAATATTCTACCAATGGTTTCTAGAGCTTAAAATAGGAAGAAACGTTTATATAAACATAGTTCGACAAACGTCCCCTAAGGGCGCTACGGTCTTTCAAAGGGTCTCCCCTGAAGATGGTTTTTCCTTAATATTTCTGAAACGTGTTGAGATAAAGACATAAAATTTGGTATTCTAAACTAGTTTTTTATGCTGGATTTAAAAATATTAACAATTTTAGACAGTTTTGTTTGGAAGCGTATGTAACAGGGACGGACTCAGGTTATTTTACCCCCAAAATTTTTGTGTGATTCTATTTTTGAAATTTAATTTTAGAATTTGAAAATTTAGGGTTTTCTACATGAAAAAGGTACTTTTATTGAATATCGATAAATTGTGCCATTTTTGAATAAACTCAAACTAAAAAAATTCACATGATAGGCAATGTACTGCGAATTTAAATGAATTGTTGATTATTCATAGTTAGCCATGACTGCAAACAAAAGTTGTTTTGATTTGTTATGACTTATTTTGACGTTAGATAGATAGATAGTCTTTATTGTCTTTTGGTCATAAATATCTATGACATAAGACTTGTCAACATTACATATACAATACATAAGTATGCGATATGCAAAAAAGAACAGGTAGTTAATTAAAATAGTACTTGAGATAATAAATAATAAACAAATAAATAAATAAAATAGGAGTCATTACAAACACAAACATATTCTTAATGACATCTAACGAAAAATCAATTTTAAATAAATAAAAACCATTGAGCACTTAAAATGTCTAGAAGAGGAGCAATAAATAGACTGTTTTTTTTCGTTAAGCTTAATAAATAAATAAAAAGAATAAATAAATAAAATTAAGCAGTTAGGTATTCGTCGACGGTGTAGTAACACTTTTCTGATAGATATCTTCTCAGACGTTTCTTTAATGTCAACATATTAGTGCTTCTGCGGAACTCAATTGGTAGTGTATTGTAAATTTTTGTACAGGCATAGAGTGGTGATTTCTGAAACTGGGCTGTTGCGTGGACTGGTATACTTAAGTCAAAACCTATTCTGGTTGTCTGTCATGCGTGTTAACTGTGTTGTTTTGAATAAAACTGGTCCTATGTTTAAATGCGAAGAGAGCGCATTTATATATATAGATGGATATTAATGTTAGCAGATTATATGTTCTGAAAATATCTTTACAAGAGTCTCTTTTGTTGATATTGAAAATCAGCGTGAGTACTCTTTTCTGCAAGATGAAGACTCTGTTGTTCATGACTGCTTGTCCCCATAGTATTATATTATTGCTAAGATGCGGGTAAGCCAAGGCGTAGTAGATATCTATAATAGCTGTTTGGGAGATGTTTTGTTTGAGTTTCAAGATTGCAAAGTATGCACTATTGAGTTTCTTAATGCAGTCCCACTCTATGTCTGTCGCTGCTGACCGGCAGATCGACGGTGGCTGGGGGAAGATGACAGGACGCCAAGACGCCAATGCTCTGAACCGATTCAACGCAGCGCAATAAGACGTTATATTTGTTTGTTACTTAAGATTGTTGGAATATATATTTATTACTGCAAGTAGTATTGATCGACTAGCGGCTCACCATCCTAGACAACATCAGAAGTGTGTGTTTTACGGTGGTTCCCAATTTTAGCAAATATTCTGCAGGCTGTTGTTTGCTCAGAGATTGGACAAGATGCCAAAGCAAAAGCAAAGGAAATCCAGAAAACGAAGTAGAAGAGAACCTTCCTCGTCTTCAACAACCAGTAGTTCTTCCGGCAGTTCTAGCAATAGTAATGGGCATAAACATAAGAGATCCAGGTGTAAGTCAAGGGAAACCGTGAGTAGCGAACATTATTCTACTTTTACGAGGGCCGATCAGGGAATACATATTTCGATGGTAATTCCAGAATTTGATCCGAAAATTAATGACATATCAGAGTGGTTAGAGGTTATCAAATATAATGCAGATATTTACAAGTGGCCTGATAGCCTTATTAAGTGTCATGCTTTGAATAAACTCAAGGGTACAGCCAAAACCTGGTATGACAGTTTCATTCAGGGTGACTTGGGGTGGTCTAGTTATGCTTGGGGCCAGTGGGAGGATATATTGAAAAATACATTCCAGAGTACACGTAATGCTTATCAACTGTTGATGGAAATGGTAAATCATAGACCCAGCGAAGGTTGTTCGTTATATGATTTTTGTTTTGAACACATAGCGAGAATAAATAAGTTACGAGTAGGATTTTCAGATTGTGACAAGGTATCATTAATTATAGGTGCTATAAATGACGTTAATATAACATCAGCTGTGGAGGCAGCAAATATTCGAAATCCTCATATTTTGGCGGCATATCTGAAGAACAAAACTTATACTGGTAGGGGCAAACCGTTAAAATCAGAGGTGCAACAGTCAATCAATCAAAGTGGTCGATTGGGAGCATCTGACAATATAGTCCGGTCAAGTACGATACATCAAAATGTAAATTGCACCACATGTGGCAACAGAGGTCACGAGCGGAATGATTGTAAACATAGAAATAAGATATGCAATTTTTGCAGAATTAAGGGGCATATTGAGGTGAATTGTTTCAAGAAACGAAAGAACTCAAGTGGGATAATTCAACTAAGTCTTCAAAAGTAAAACAAAAAATTGAACAGGTCAAATTAATTAAAAGTCAGAATAGTGCTTCAAAATTTTTTAAAAAAATATTTCTTGATGGGAATTTAATAGAAGCTTTTGTGGATTTTGGTAGTGATTGTTCTCTAATAAAATTGGCAATAGTGCAGGAGCTAGGGTTAACGTTGAAACCTCTTGGGGAGAAGGTAACATTGTCAGGATTTATGGGTATAGGGACTGTTGTTACGCAATTTGTTGAGGTAATGACCCAAATTGATCAGGTGAAACTTAATACAAAATTTTATGTGGTTTCTAATGAAAGTGTAGACAATGATGTTCTTGTTGGGAGAAATTTCACAGAAAATAATACTATTATGTATTATCGTATAGATGACAAGTTGATATTCAAAATAAAGGACAAAAAGCCACAGTGGTTGCAAAATGTCAAAACAGGGGTATTGTCAGAACAAGATAATAAGACTCTGCAGGATATTCTAATTCAATATCAAGGTTGTATATTTTTGAATTTGAATAATTTGGGGAAGGCACACTCTGTTTCATTAAAAATAGAGTTGGTCAATGACAAACCAGTCACTCATAAGGCCTATCGATTAGCAGAGATAGAAAAACAAATCATGAGAGGTAAGGTACAGGAACTTTTGGAGGCTAAAATCATACGTGAAAGTAATTCACCATATGCCAGTCCTGCTCTTCTGGTCAATAAAGGAACTAATGACAAACGACTAGTTGTCGATTACAGGGCGCTAAACAAAATAACTGTTAAAAATAATTTTCCAATGCCATTAATCGAAGAAATTATTGATAATTTGAGTGATTACAAGTATTTTACCTCGCTTGACCTAGCATCAGGTTACCATCAAATACCGATGGAGCCTGCTTCAATGAAGTATACAGCGTTCATAACACCTGAAGGGCATTTTGAGTACGTTCGTATGCCGTTTGGGCTTTGTAATGCCCCATTGGTATTTCAGAAATTTATGAATGAAATCCTTATGCCTTTAAGAAAATTTAATGTGGTTCCTTATTTGGACGACATCTTAATACCGTCAAAGACTATAGAGGAGGGGTTAGATTTATTGCCTAAGGTACTGAAAATTGTACAGGAGTATGGTATTGTAATAAAAATCGAAAAGTGTTCTTTTCTTACAGAGAAGATAGTTTATCTAGGATATCAAATCTCATACAATCAAATATCACCATCCAACCTGAAAATTGAAGCGGTGGAACAATTTCCTTGTCCTAAGACACAACATCAACTGAGACAGTTCTTGGGTCTCGTCGGCTATTTTTGGAAGTTCTTAAAAGATTTTGCGCGAATTACCGCCCCATTGACGAAGCTATTAAAGAAAGGAAGTCGGTGGTCTTGGACAGAAGTTCACACACAAATAGTCAAAGATTTAAAAGCCAAAATTTGTGCAGAACCTATTTTGGCAATATTTAATCCAAAAGCACTGACAACCGTATATACGGATGCTAGTCGTGATGGTTTTGCAGGAATTTTGATGCAAAGTACAGATGGTAAAGAGAGACCAATAGCGTATTTCAGTAGGCAAACTAATACCGCTGAGAAAAATTATCATTCTTTTGAGTTGGAACTATTAGCAATAGTCAAAACTTTGGAACGGTTCAGGTTTTATTTAGTAGGCTATCAGTTCCAAATTTTTACTGATTGCAATGCGGTAAAGAACGCATTATCTAAGCAGTCGATAATTCCAAGAATTGCTAGATGGGTCTTGTCTTTACAAGAGTTTTCTTTTACCATTCACCATAAAGCAGGTACTCAGATGCAACATGTAGACGCACTTAGCCGAAACTTTAATGAATCTCAAAACAAAGCACAAGTCCTACTCATCCAAGAAGATGACTATCTCAGGGAAGCACAGGATCAAGATGAATCCATAGTGGAAATTAAAAATATTCTTTTAAGTGGGGATGTTCAGAGTCACAAAGATGTTTTTAATAATTACGATTTAAGGGGGAACAAAGTCTATAAGTTAACACCTTATGGGAGAAGATGGGTAGTCCCAAAGAAGTGTAGATGGCAAATCGTCAAAGCAAACCATGACGATATAGGTCATTTTGCGGTTGATAAAACGTTAGAGAAAATTAAGCAACGGTATTGGTTTCCCAGAATGAGGCATTTCATAACAAAATACATAAATGCATGTTTACCTTGTTTATATCATAAAGATAAAGGGGGCAAAAGACCCGGGTACCTTCACTCCATCCCAAAGTATGCTAGACCACACCACACACTACATATAGATCATTTAGGACCTTTTGTGAACACAAAACAGGGAAACAAGTATTTAATAGTTGTTGTTGATGGCTTTTCGAAATTTGTGTATTTAAAAGCAGTTCCTGATACATCTGCAAAATACGTAATTCAAATGTTAACTGAAATGTTCGCGATGCTCGGTAACCCAAGACGACTCATCACGGATCTTGGATCTGCGTTTACTTCAAAGGCCTTCGAGGAATTTGTTGCTGTAAGAGGGATACGGTTATTTACAACAGCTGTTGGTCTCCCAAGAGGCAATGGTCAATGTGAGCGGACGAACAGAACAGTTCTAGACGCTTTAGCAACATCTGGTTCGCAAACAAGTGAAGACAATTGGGATACTAATCTTTCACATATACAACAAGGACTGAATAGTACTAGACACCGTATTACACAAAACACGCCCGCAGAAGTAATGTTTGGTTTCCAACTACGGACTGATAGTGACAAATACCCTGATGACGATATGGAAACAACTCTAGATGTTACAAAAATCCGAAAAGAGACAGCCAAACGTCAGGAACACAATAGAATCGAACAAGATTTAAAATTTAACACTAAACGTTCTCTACCTAGGTTGTACCAGGTGGGAGATGTGGTATTAACTAAAGTAACCAGCTTTTCAGCGAATGAAGACAGTAAAAAGTTACGTCCTAAGTTTAGAGGACCATTCAAGATAGTTGAGGTTCTACCCAATGACAGGTATAGAGTGCAAGAAGATCGTTTCACACAGAGGTCAAGGCGACCATATCAAGCTGTGGTAGGTGTGGAACACATGAAACCCTTCAAAGTTCAAAATCAATAAGGTGAGTAATGAACTACTCAAATGTTACGCCCTCAATGGCATCTGTTCTGCTCTCAATGGCAAATGTTACGCCCTCAATGGCATCTGTTCTGCTCTCAATGGCAAATGTTACGCCCTCAATGGCATCTGTTCTGCTCTCAATGGCAAATGTTACGCCCTCAATGGCATTGTTCTGCTCTCAATGGCAAATGTTACGCCCTCAATGGCATCTGTTCTGCTCTCGATGGCAACTGTTACGCCCTCAATGGCAAGTTTTGCTCTCGATGACGAATGGTCGTCCTCGATAGCAAATGGTGTTGATGGCAATAGATATAGGTGTTTCCTAAATAATTTAATATTTTCAGACGTTCGGGACGAACGTGACGTCAGGATGGCCGTGCAGTCCCACTCTATGTCTGTCGCTGCTGATCGGCAGATCGACGGTGGCTGGGGGAAGATGACAGGACGCCAAGACGCCAATGCTCTGAACCGATTCAACGCAGCGCAATAAGACGTTATATTTGTTTGTTACTTAAGATTGTTGGAATATATGTATTACTGCAAGTAGTATTGATCGACTAGCGGCTCACCATCCTAGACAACATTAATGACATGATTCACATGTGACTGCCAGCCCAACTTCCCATCAATATGAGTTAAGCTGACATTATTATCAGTGTAAAATAACTAGATTGAAATCAAAATTTTTATTAAATCGATTTAAAATGCCAAGATTTATAGACAGAGAACTGACTGACGTGCATTTTATGTACAGGTTTTGCAATGGCTGTTCATTGGCAACCGTAAGAGAATATTAAAGAAGATTTCTCAATCGCATAGTACCTGGACGTCGAATGGATAACCATGCAAGTTTTCAGCGCAGGCAGGGCTCAGGAAGGCCACTGGGAAATCATCGTATGGATATTGCTTTAAATATGTTTGAAAATAATCCGCAAATAAGCATACGAAATGTTTCAGAAAATATGGATATACCTCGATCAATAGTGAGAAACATTTTTGAATACCTATTTGATAGTTATCCTAAAAATAATAATATTAGATAGGAATAATGACAAGAATGCAAGGATTACATCCTTGTCATTTTAAACAGGTGCAGCATTTAACGGAGGCAGATTTTTTACCACGAATCGAGTTTTGCCAGCGGATATCAGCAAATGAAAACACTATTCCTAGAATATTATGGTCGGATGAGTCAATATTTGCTAGGAATGGTGGTCAGATGAAAATCCAAAAGTTGTTCGCCGTACAAATTTCCAACATAGATTTTCATTCAAATTATGGGCAGGAGTAATTGGGAATCAAGTAATTGGGCCTGTTGTACTTCCCAATCGTCTTAATTCAGAGGTGTATCTGAACTTTCTTTAGAATGAGCTCATGGATATAATACCATTGGATGTGCGCCAGCAGTTTCAGGAAAATATGTTTTTTCAACATGATGGCGCCCCTGCACATTTTGGACGCAATGTTCGACATTGGTTGAATGTCGATTTTCCAGACAGGTGGTTAGGCCGAGGAGGTCCTATAGCGTGACCGCCACGTTCACCTGACCTGAATCCATTGGATTTCTATGTTTGGAGGTCATTAAAATACCTAGTTTACTCGACTGAAGTAAATACTCAAGAAGATTTACTTCAAAGAATCCATCAGGCTGCAAATGGAATAAGAAGAAAAAGGTTTTCCACTTTTCGGGCTATGCAATCATTAGTTCTCGAGCGAGACTCTGTATCCAACAAAATGGGAATTTATTTCAACACTTATTGTAAAGCTAGTTTTAAATATATCCAACTTTTTTAAACTAATTTCAACTTCGTAGAAAAAAAAATATTTCTTTTGTTTTTGCCTAAATGTTAGTTAGCTATGTTGCAATAGAAATATGTATTTATGTAATATTTATCAATTATTAAATTAGTTTTTTCGTTGCCATGGCTAATTATTCAACAATTCATTTAAATTCGCAGTACATTTACTATCATGTGACAAATTTTTTAGTTTGATTTTATTCAAAAATGTTACAATTATGTAGAAAACCCTAAACTCTCAAATTCTAAAATTGAATTTCAAAAATAGAATCACACAAAAATTTTGGGGCTAAAATAACCTGAGTCCGTCCCTGTTACCGCTTAGAAACAAAACTGTCTAAAATTGTTAATATTTTTGAATCCTGCGTAAAGAACTTGTTAGAATACCAAGTTTTATGTCTTTATCTCAACACGTTTCGGAAATATTAAGGAAAAACCATCTTCAGGGGAGCCCCTTTAAAAGACGCCCTTAGGGGACGTTTGTCGACCTATGTTTATATGAACCTTTCCTCACATTTTAAGCTCTAGAAACCGCTGGTAGAATATTGCACACTTCTTTCGGGACACCATATACAGAAATAACAATAAGTGAGGAATAATCAGATATAGATCGTCATGTACCGAACTTTCTAGGATATTTTGAGAAATGAGAAGGTTGTGAAAAACGGGGTGAACTGCTAGAAGAACTGAAACACAGCCTGAGAGTTTTAGCGTCGTTCCTCTCTCTGGCTACTAGATGTCTCGAAATATGTGCAAAATGAGTACGAAACACATATCCTTAGACGCATAACGTATGTACTAAACGTCTTGGCACAAAATATTTGTTGGACTTTTTTTTAATGAAAAAATTTAAACACTAACTAGTTATCATAAATTACAACTAAGCAATTACGAGCCACTTCCCACTTCAAGATTTGTACCAAAATATGCCTTTATAAACTAAACATGACGAAACTATTTACTTCTAAAACAATTTATTTTCTCAAAAACATTTTAGATACACTCTAGTCGTAAAAAATGCATATTTGAAATCACTTAGACCTATAACTAATAGAACATCTGAACAAATAAACAACGTGCGAATAAATGCGCGAAGTTAACAAAGCAACAATTGAAAGATTACCATTGGGTAGCATTACCTTTATTTTTTATTACGGCTGAAATTCTTTGGGGCATAGTGTTAGCAAAAATTTGGTGTAAAACAATCCCATATATTTCTTGAAGCTTTTGTCTCAGTTCGGTGATTGTACGAGGAGAATGTTGTCGTAGAACCTTTTTCATCTCGTGCCACAAAGTTTCAATAGGTGACAGATCTGGACTGCTAGAAACCTATTTCAAAAGTGGTACATTATTTTCTCCTATCCATTTTATAGCCTTTTTTGAGGTATGGCTCGCTGCACCATCTTGCTGAAACACAAAATCTTGGCCGGATGTCAAACATTCTTCCACCACTGGTAAAAGCGATTCTTCTAAAATTGCCAAATATTTGTTTGTATCCACATTTCCATCAATAAAATGAGCTTTTCCTACTCCTTTTGATGACATAATGTCCCAAACCATTATGGATGCTGGAAATTTCACTTTTCTCTTCAGACTGTCAACATGGAATGCTTCATTTTTTTGCGAATACCTCTACTGCGACTGTCACCAACACAAGCTTCGAATCGGGCCTCATCACTCCATTGTATTGCACACCATTATTGAGGTGTTCATTGTCTATGTTCTTTAGCCCATGTAAGCCGATTTTTCTTTTGCATTGGAGTTAGTAGTGGCTTTTCTTTGGCCTATAAACAAGTTGTGCAACTTTAGGGTTTTTACTTCACCTCTTTTTATAAGAAAACTTACCTTGCAAGTGCTAAATCAAAGTTTGTGGGCCTCTCTATGAGTTGTGGACCTCGAAATTCTCCTTCCAACAGCGTCACTCCACAGAGCACTTAATTGTAAATAATTGGCACGCCTGTTTTTCACGATTATAGTAAATGTGATCATATAATCCCTTCGTTAGTTGTATCTCTATTCATATTTCAATAATACTGTTGCAACATCAATGGCCTTCATATTTATTTACTCATTCTTTGTATTGCACTTACGAGTAAATAAATAGTATGATCATTAATTTGAATTTACAAAGATATCGATGGATGTGGACATAATTATAACAATAATAAAATATTTCTTCCGTCTTCAATTAATATTTACAGGAGGTATCGGCATCGTTGGTCGACAGGAAAGACAGTTGCGTGTCTGCGTTCCGTTTGACGCCCACTTTCGACACAACCTCCCTGTCGTCAATACACCCATCGGTAGTAAGCTTAGTGATGAGTGGGTCAACTCAACGTCATAATCGTAATGCTCGAGGGGTTATTTTAAATATTGTTATTGTTAAGTTGGTTTGAGAAGACTTATCCTTAGATTGAGTTCTACATAACTGTGAACATATTAAGTACAAAGTACAGGTAATTTCAGGTTCTGTGGAACGTACTACATCGAATTTAGGTTATATCGGTAGTATAACCATATATATAGGTGAAAAATTAAAGCTTCCGCCTTTTGTTGGGTACTTCGACAAAATTTAAGCAAAGAGGACTCTTTATACTTTTTTTAATTCTCTCTAGCTTTCAATGGACTTTGCCATCATCATCAGTAGCTGCAATTACAATGATAACAGTAGCAATAAAAGTGTAAAATGAATTTAAATTGAATCAACTTACAGTAGTATGTGAAGATGTTGCTAATTGTTGTTTTCCTATAGGATGAGGGAAACGTCCAGTAACATGGTGAGAGCTGGATACAAGTGGCTTCACGACGTAATGCTCTAATGTTTTCTAAATAATTTTTAATCTGTCTTTAACTTGTCTTGTCATATTTTATATAATTTTAACCATTGTACCATGTATCCAGCTCTCACCATGTTACTGGACGTTTCCCTCATCCTATACGAAAACAACAGTTGATTCAATTTAAATTCATTTTACACTTTTGTTGCTACTGTTATCATTGTAATTGCAGCTCCTGATGATGATGGCAAAGTCCATTGAAAGCTAGAGAGAATTAAAAAAAGTATAAAGGGTTCTCTTTGCTTAAATTTTGTCGAAGTACCCAACAAAAGGCGGAAGCTTTAATTTTTCACTTAACTGGTCTAGACGACAATGACCACGTCTCAAGTTATATATATACGTATATATATATATAACCATAGTTTTAAGTATTTACGAGCATATTACACGTGAAGTGGGTTCTTAGGGAGTTTTATATAGCCTTTTTCATAATATGGTTTAGCTTATATCAGTGGTCTAAGGACTCTTAGCAGACCTGCCGGGTGTAACTAAGGTTACCATCCGTCCAGCTTTAGCCTTTCTTTGGACCGCATACACTTTATCAAGGGCGGACAAAGGGGGCTAATGATCCCCTCCTGCATGGATACTAGGTAAAAAATCGACATAATGTCATTAAAATCCTACATAATGCCATTAAAAGTCAGTATAATGTCTACTTGTGTACTAGCTACAAAAATGAGCGATCCATCTTATACTTTCTGGTCTACAAGAACTACCTAAATACAACCTATGGAGGAATGGATCAACGATCATTTCGCTCGACAACATCTTATTACGGTAGCTAGCTGCTAGAGCAATAACGCAGTTATCGATTTGATACAAGCATCTTCAAGATCCTATTGAGGCTCCGCGGGTGTACTCGTCGCCGTCGACCTCGATGTTTCTTTCCATCAAAACTGCATACGTTTGTTTATAACGTGCAAAGCCCGTCAGGTTGAATACAGTTGAAAACATAGATAGCGTCGAATATTACAAGCTTTTGAAAAGGTAAACAAACTCGTTTTGTGAATCGATTAGCGACAACTTCCAGCAATGTTTACAAACGAAACATGTGACCGTACTTGAAGTTCCTTACCAAATTAATACATAGTGAGTACTTTTCTTCAATTTCCTTTTCACGTTTTCGGGCGTAGATTTAGTATTGCAAACGTAGTTGACCCTGAAAAGGAAAGTTCCAACTTTCAGAACAATGCATATCTAGTTTAAAATTTTATTTGGAAGTACTGTTATGAGCTTAAAGGAAGATTCAAGTACATTACAATGTAATTCTTCAAATCAAGACTGTTTTGTGTTTGCAATAAGGGTTTTAGCCGTTTATTAAATAAATAAATGAATAAATAAATAGATGAATCAATCAATAATAAAACTGAGTTATAACGGGTGTAAAGATACTACTACAATTGACTGGATTCCTCATACTACTTTCTTGGTGCGCTCAATAGTTCTCAGACCAAAAGCCACAGCAGTTACATATGTGTAGTGTTACGTCGTGAAATGCACTTAATTCATGAGACACGCTACCGCCGGTCCAACCGCAGGGACGGACATACAGACAGACACATGCTAGACCAGAGCACCAGAAGCACCCGTTGCATTCCACACATACCACTTATGCAACCAATTATGATTTTCTTCGTGCCATCCATTCGCTGTTAAATGTAACCATGAGAATGCAGCGGGTTATTCATAGGGTTGCAAGATCAACAACAGATGTTTTGTATTTAAGTTCCTAGGAAATCTGGAAAATGTCGCCAATTAAGCACCAAACTGAAATTAACTGACATATGCCTAAGGGTTGCTAATATGGACACCTAAATTTACTGTTTCTATATAATTTAAAACAAAAAATTGCTTCTTGTGTTTCTGGACAATCAGACAAATAAATAATTAGTAAAGCCTCATCCCGTATACATACTTGTATGTATAATAAGTTCACAATCAATGAACAAAAAATATCGAATTTTGCCAAAACGTCAAACATCAATATCCAGTTTTTCATATTTTTTGGTATCTGAGATTTGTGGAGAGCACAATATAAATATACCTCAGTGAGTGATATTCAATGTTTTCTTTTAATTCCCAAATATTATTCAAACATACCTTTGAATCTAAATTACTTAGATAAGGAACTCATTTTAATAGTTCATTAATTTTAAATTTGTGCACTCAATTTAAGTAAACGGTGTAATAAATTTAATTAAACGATAGCGTTTTGGCCTAATTTAACTAGTTCCTTGGATTCAAATAAACTATTTTAGAAATCGGAGTTTAATTGAAGCAATTTAACTTGTTAGTTATCACAAAGTTAATTAAATTTTTAACTTGGCTTTATCATGATTTTAATTTTTTTGACTATTTTCAAAATTTGAATGCGAAAAATTTTTTATTCCCGTATTTTTTGTCTTACGTTGAGTGACTAGTGACTCACTGACTGACTGTGGCTGTGTAGAAGGGTAGTGCAAGACAATGGATGTGGTTTACAGACTTAGCAGCGTGAAACGATTCTGAAAACACACATTTGAAGAAAAAATTGAGCTGAAGGTATCAGATGGATCGCTGCAGGACAGGACATATTTATATAAACACAGGTCGTTAGTCGGTTCAAGGGGTATACGCGGCATTTCAGCAGGGAGATTTACACCAGAAATGACTGGATTTGTGGGTGCAACAGGAAGAATGCCCTTTTCTGCTGCTTTCCTTGCATACTTTTCGGGGGTGACAAAGCTTCAAAACTCTAAAACACATCTTCATAATTCGATCGAATTGGCTTTATTGGGGACTGTTAACATCAGAGCTCAGTTAGATTCAGCATATTATAGAAATATACAACAGCATAATGATACCGTTACAAAAAACAGGTACGTTCTATCAAAAATAATCGATGGTATACAATACCCGGGAATATTTCGTGGACTGATTAATTTTTCTGCTGAGCTTAGTACAACCTTAAGCGAACACAGAAAATGCTTCAATATTTAAAGGAACTTCGAAAGAAATACAAAACGATCTACTGGATTGTACTCTTGAAGTTTGTCATGAAGAAATAATAAAACAGATTAACAGAGCCTCGTATTTGGCAACAATAGCAGATGAAACAACGGACATTTCGGGGATAACCCAACTGGTAACAATTTTCAGATACGTATTTAACGGCGAACCAGTAGAACGTTTTTGGAATTATATGAATCCCGAAAAATGTGACGCTGATACTCTCACAAGACATACTTTCATCCATTAACAGGAAATTTCCCCATCAAACTGATTTCACAAAGCTATGATGGAGCCGCGCTAATGAGCGGTCATAATGCTGGAGTACAGGCAAAAATTAAACAAAGAAGTTCGGGTCTTCTTTGGGGATTTGAAAGATATTGCGGGATGTTTTAATAATTCTCCTCAACGCGTAGAGGTACTGAACAGAATGGTGGGGAAAAAAAATGCACAAGGAGCAACAACTCGTTGGAATTTTAATATTCGAGCAATAAATGTAGTGTTTGAGAACAGAGAATGCAAGGAATACATAGAAAAAAGTCGTTTAAAGACAGAGTTGTCTGTTATTTATGCACGGAATGATTGCCGAGATTTACATTGAGCTCTGTCTCTTTTGAAATTTTTGATACAAAATAGTTTGGATTAAACATTAAGAGAAACAAAAAATGTATTAGAAATTATTGTTACAACTCCTATGTCAACATCAGAGGCTGAGCGAAATTTCTCAACATTGAAAAGAAGCAAGGCTTTTCTTCGTAATACTATGACCCAGGATCGCCTTACAGCGTTGTCGATGCTGTCCATTGAAAAGGAATTTATTTCGACCATGGAAAATTTCAACGGGAAGGTGATCGACAAATTTGCTGCCAAGTAGCAGCGCAGGATCGAACTGACATAAAAAATAGGTAAGTTCGGATTTGCAGAACACCTGTTTTATTTTGCCACGAGCCGCCACTGCCTCTGAACTCATGGTCATGGTCCTCCCTTTTTATACCCTAAAACACTTTTTGAAGACGTGATCTATCCATTGCACTTTTCAGATGTTACGCCACTGTGCTGTAGGCATTCGAAATCGGAAACTCGCACCTTTGTTTCCTCTCTCCCTACGAAAGCAGTACTTCAGGTAAATAATTTTCGAACCATCTGTCGATACTAGGGAAAAAGACGGGTGTGTATTCTACTAAAGATAAATTCAGTAAACAAACCTCATTGCAGGGAAAACCTTTGTTAAGCTCATATAAAAAACGGATTATTTTTTCCACATTCCATGTGACACTTTCTCCTAATATATCCTCTAGATATTAGCCAGTAATGGGGGCCGCAGCTTATTTACATTAGTCAGAGACTAATATGTTTATTTTTCCACATTTTTAAGCTGAAAGAGACTGAAGAAGCCGAAATGTCAGTGATATCCAACTTAGGACATATGTGGTTTTAACTATTGATCACAGGATGGGTGATGAACAAGCTGTTTCCATAGTCGCCTTCAAAAGAATCTTGAAAAACGTAATACTCTAAGTGGCGAATAGTTGCAAAGCGGTATGCCAATGACAAACATGATACGCCAGCTACTAGCAAAATTGCGTTCTATCCGAAAAGATATTGCAAAACGCTTACTTTTAAATCAAAATATTGAAACATGTCTATCGCTCAAAAGATTACACTCTTCTGAATATGCGGGAGGTAATTAAATTGAATAGAAACAATTTTTGAGAAAATTAGACATGCATATCCTTGAAATTCCAATGACTGTTGTTTGCCCTAGTTGGTACTATTGTAAGGGGGACCAGTATGTGCCTCCGAGAAAATATGTAGAGGCTAGATCTGGTAATGCATTAATAAAAGTAATATCACAATGAAGGAAAGTTTAGAATGGTATTTTCCGCCTATAATATACTTCAAAGCAGTAATCGCACCCCAACGACTTAACAAACCGACTGTTGTATGTTATTGAGCACATTGCCATATTGAAGGATTTTCCCCCATATTTGGGGGATTTTAACTTCTGTTCAGGAATATTTGGGGATGCACGTAATGCTCTCGACGATTTTTTGAAGGAAGAGTCGTTGGGTATTTTTGGAATGTTATATTTCATTTTTCATCAAGCAAAGCTGGCCATTGCGAAATACAAACTTTATTTTTCTGTAGCCTTTACTTTCCCCATGGTCGCACCATAAAAACTAGACATACGAGTGCAAACTCGTAGAGTGAGAGTGCATTCAAAAATGTCAAGAATGTAGGCGGGCTACCTACTATAGCCATTGTGTCAGAAATCTATTTCAGGTTCTGCGCATCTGGCATCTCCCTCATATCTGCATCTCTTTCTCTTCCATCTGCATTTATATATAATATAGTATTCATAGTTAATTGCCTTAACTGATAGGAGAAGATATCCTTTAATTTCTTTGTGTAGAAGGCAAAAGTACACTCTTATAACTTAAACTCTCAAGCTTTCGAAGATCTATGTCTTCATTGTCTGGAGCTGGAAACAATTATTAACAATAGCAACAGATAGCAATTAGGAGAAAGATATTTACTTACTAAGTCGGTCACTGTTGTCTTAAAAACAATTTCAGCAACAATCTCGCCGACTTAGTAAGTAAATATTTTTCTTCTAATTGCTATTTGTTGCTATTGTTAATAATTGTTTCCAGCTCCAGACGATGAAGACATAGATCTTCGAAAGCTTGAGAGTTAAGTTATAAGAGTGTACTTTGCCTTCTACCCAAAGAAATCAAAGGATATATATATACAATAAATTTTTTTTTTGGGAGTTGACAATGCTTGAAGCATAGTGAACTCTTTTTAATGAAACCTAAACAATGTGGAAACATGACGTACATCTGTCATCGGTCTACTACGTCACATTTCCGGGTCACGTGCAACTGGTATACGGTGGAAAATGGAATCTTCTTTCCCCAAAATGTAGTTTTAGTTTTTAATGACTTGATTACGTGACTGTGTCTGGGATACAGCCGTGTGAATTCCGTCTATACAGCGTAGCAAAACAAACGAAATTTGTGTAGCAGGATCTTGGACACGATGACTAATACGTTAGCGGCAGCTGTACGAAGAGAGCTAATGTGTCCGATGTTTTGTTTTTATAATCGTAACAAGTGCTCTCATCCACGCTTTCGTTCTAAAACACCATTTAGCAGCAGCCTCATCGACGAGTAAATAACTGAAATTTTAAATTTGTTCTAAATTGGTTGCTATTCATATTTGTGTTTTAGCTCCTGAAGATGACAGCATAGTTTATCAAAAGCTCGAGATTTCAGTCAAAAGAGTTCACTACTAAGTTTTGTCAATTCCCATTAAACAATGTAATTGTATTTCTAGCCCAACTGGTCGTTTGCAATGACTTCATATGTATACGTGTCTTCCCTTATGAAGCCTAACCTCCTGCATCTAGTCTTCAAGTAGTAGTAAATTTCTATTGCGATAGTGTCGGACCGCCCTCGTATATCAACATCTGAAGAGGTGCGCCCATGTACGCACAACGATATAATTGGGTCGTCCTAAGAGCTGGCCTTGAGGAAAGTTGTCGAGAGTGGTGGTCGAGCGTGAAAAACTGGTACGGCCTTTATGGACTGCTGAGTGTATTACTCCACTTTAACCTTACCAGAAACCAGAAATAGGCACAAGAAATAGTTCTGGATTCCAGTCTCTCGACTCTCGAATTCCGTCTGCGTTCTGTATTCGAATTTCTCGACCGAACACCGCAAACTTATTGTTCTACCAGTTTCTGTTTTGTCCGCTTTCCTCTCTCTCTCTCTATGTAGTCGGTGTCACATGAACAAATCTTCAGGCTTGCCTGAAGGAAACCCTATCTATATTACAAGCCGCGAAGCATTTCATGAGAGGTAGGCAATTTAAATTATTAATGGTTAAAGGCAGCTGTACGTAGAGAAGGTATTACACATGATGAGGTGTAAAATCTCATTCCCTTGATTTAAGATAAACAGAACGCAGCCTCAGATTGCGTTAAAAAAAAATTGGTTTTGCAGCTTTTTAGCCCAGTCTCTATGGCTCTTTCAAATGCTCAAATATATTTTAAAAGATAGTGTTGTAGTTACGCTTAAGGAAATAGGATGAACCGTTGAAACTTGCGTCTATTTGCAAGCGTATCCAAAATTATACAGCATTGAAAATCCAGAAATTAACAGACATATAAGTTTCTCCTTATATCAAACAACTTTATTTTATTTTTCATAAATTTATACCTATCTGCAACCTGAAAAAATATTTGAATATTATCTAAAAAAAACGTGGAGTTGACGGAATCGTTTTGTATTATTCAAAATAAATATGTGAAAGCCATATTCAGTAAATTTGTTCGTGGAGCTCTACGCGTTCCTGTCAAATAGACAAACTTAATAAGTCTAGCTTTACTCATAATAGTAATTGCCCCTTGATTCTATATTTGCGATTTTTTTACATTTTCCATCTACTGGGGAAGGAGGCACATTTCAATAACAAATTGAAAAATTAAGTACGTAACTACATAGAAGTCTAACCATCTGATGCTCCTATATTTAAATCTTAACGCTAGAGGTAACGTGGTAGAAACTTCTATGTTCCAACCTCTCAAATTAAAAGTTGGATTCCAACGCAAAGAGCTTAATTGAAAGTTTCGCGACAACAGCTCTGTTCATTCACTCTTGGTGGTACAAAAACACACAAAAATGGCAAAAGTCCATTCCAAAATCTTACCTAAGCATATTAAAGGCAATTATTCTAAAACACAATTTTAGTGAAAAAAAAACTGGCGTCACTCTGTAAGAACTGATTCTCAATCCACGACACCAAAATTAGTGGCCTACTAGTTTGAAACTTTCCCCCACTTTAGCCTTTTATCCAGAAATGTGCTGTTATCTAGAAACGGGTTGAACTACGATAACAAATGCACTCGAAACCATCTGTGAACAAAGCGACAGAGTCGTATGCAAGTTTAACTGTAAAAGGCCAAAGGGACGCAATACACAAAGCAACATACAGATTGAGAAAATAAACTAATTTTCTAGTCGTATATGTCCCTCTACGTTGCGTCGGGCTACTACAGTATTCGATAGTATAGCTTAGTTATACGAGCCCCTTCC